TCAAATTTGCTAATTTGAAACGTAGATAAGTAGTCTTCAACTTTATGCGTTTCAATCATCAGCCACTAAATGTGAAGACGTATGCAAATTTCATGAGTAAATTAACTTGTTTTCAACACTAAACACATAGACAAACCGTGCACATATTTCTTAAATTAGATCACTTTGTGCATCTAACAACAATGTTCTTTGAACTATTTACTAAATATGAAATCTAAAATGAATCAACTTACTGGAAAGAGTCAGCCGCCATAACCGCATTTTGTTACAATATATTGTTAAATCACTCTCTGTTTACCCACATCAGGAATTCCCTGCAATACTGGAATAGCATGACCAGATCCTTCTCGTTTTATTTTTATCTATGCGCTTTGAAAGCGAACAAATGTAATTTTAGATTAAATGCCTGCACAATAGAGTTGCAGTAATTTCTGATGGTCGTAATATCGTTATCCTGTCTGCAGTCAACGTAGAGTGAGTTGATGTTATCAATTTCCTCCAATAAGTTGCCATTTTCGAAACTCAACCGCACCAATGAGGGTAATGGAAGTACATCTTTTGTTAGAAACTCGGCTCAGGTGTCCCATATGACCCGATGGCTTATGTTCTTTTATAAATTGAATCTTGTCGATACTCCTTCGCAAGTAATAAAAGAAGTACTTACTGACGTCACGAACAAACTTTGAATGCTTTTCGTCGTATCACAGGTGTATTGTGTTTCAAGGAGAAATTAAGGATGGTAAAGCCTTTTATTGATCGCTGAAATTTGATAACTGTTTACTTACTTAAACAAAATTAGATTACCTACTTTATTTCCGTGCCTAAACTAAGCTAGCAATAATTTTGAATATTATCTATAAAAAACAGCTTTTTAAAAATATGTTTCATAGCTACATTTGTGTAATTCTGTTTGTTGTAAATTGGAAATATAAAATACTGATCTCCAAACTGCAAGCTTTTAAACGATTCAATATCAGGCAATTTTTGTTTCGTTTCTTATTTTAAATTTTTCTCGTGCGTAGAAGTACAATAAGAATCTATGAAACAAACTAAGTTTAACAAATCAGTTTCACACTTGCCTGGCAAAACTTTCAGAAAGCTGCGTAGTCACTTTTATACCACTTCCTTTTGTTCCGGTACATTAGCCACAATCTGTTTTCAGTTATAGTCTCATTCAACTCGGCGGGCCTACATAACTTTCTCTGAATTACACCACCTTGCTGAACTAAATGTATACTTGTTGAACAAAACATACAAGATGTTCGCACATATAAATCACCAATAAACGTTTAAAATAGTGACCTAAATGAGGTCGGTGTGAGAGATAATTGCGTTGCAAGAGAAATTAAATATTATGTTAAATCTGAGCAACTCTTTGGGGTGTGTTAATGTTTCCATTGTTTTATAAAACACTTAGACTAATTACACTTATATGAACATTTCCAAACGTCCTTCTCCCAAAGTAGGTAGCAGTAGTTTTATAATTTCGAAACACGTTTCTCTGGTTTTGTAGCTTTATTACATAGGCGGAATAGAGTTTTGCCAATTAAGCACAAAGTTGTTTGTAGGTTTGCAATATACAGTTGAATAGAAGTGATCACTTGGGATAAACACACAGAATCAATAATTTGCATAGTTAAACCATAAAAAGCTAATATCAAATTATTAACAACCCACATAAAATTAATCTTTAACTACAAAGGGCCTGAAGGCAAATCTAACAAATAAATTTGATCATTTGACGTGGAGGCATTATTCGAATTCGATAGACGATAGATAATTCTGCTTTCGAGGTAAATAGCCAGGAAAGGACTGAAACGACGTGGTCAGAGGGTCAATACCGCAATGTTAGAGTTTCACACGACGGTTTTCTAGGAACAAAATTAACTGTCCTGGACATTACATCTGGAGCTCGTTAATATAAAAAGAGATTGTGGACCTTGCTTCCGTTTCAATGGAATTGTAACATTTACTAAAATTTATGTTCCCTTCGGCTGAATTATCTTCGGCAAAATTACATCTTACTGATAGCTTTGCTTATAGATAACTTTTACATTCTGTTTCTATTCACGTCTGAATCTAAGGTGTTTAATAAAAATTCTTAATTTTTGAATTCTAAATTTCGATCTACAATGCTCCTTTGTCAATAGACAGTGTTTTCTTTGAATTAAATAGAGACTTTTTTAGGTTTATTTTCAGTCAAATTATTTTTTTTTGCTTCAGCAAAATATAATTTGACTAATTTGAGCTAATATATAAAGTTGCAAACATTTTATTTTAAGATAAGGTTGTGGAAATCTATAAAACTTTAGTATGAATAACTTTCAAGTTGGGTTATCCATTTACTAAAATAAAGAATGGTTGATACTTACTAACATTTACGACATAAAACTTCTCGTTTAAAAAGTTTGCCTATAAAAACTTTTTTCTTTTAGTATGAGCGTTTCAATCAGGTTTATTCAACAGATAGGTATTTCTCTTCAAATATGAAAATAAAGTTGAAAAAATGCGTTAAGTGTAAACACTTAAATTAAAATTGTTTGCTGCTATTTAAGCAAATTTCCTTCTATAACAAAAAAGTGCTGAACTGTTAGTTTTCTAGAAAATATTAGGTCGTGTCAGATGAACTTCTTTAAAAGAAAGTTATGAGTGGAGCACATCTGCTGAGCCAGCGTGAGTGCATCCAACAAAAGGATAATATTCCGTTTATTACGAAAAGTAAAAAATATTTAGGTCAGACATGACTTGTCTCGTTTTGCACTGTCTTGGATTACAATAATCTGAATTATGATTTTTGTGAAAAAATTTAATGCTATAAGAAAAGTTTATTGCTTTTATAAAAAATTCTGGAAATATTTTGCGATATTTTGCGTCTTCCCCGATTACATAATCGAAATCTTTACCAGTTAGGAGTATTTTCACACCTTAGATTCACCACATTGTGCCAACCTTGTAATAGAATAAATTGCAAACTTGAGCATCTGAAATCTGACAAAAGTCGATCCTGGAGGTTTATCGCATTTCCTGCTTCTGACAACAAGGAACTTTCCTTTTGAGTATGTGCCTTCTTTCTCGTTTAGTCCTTCAATTTAATGTAGATAAATAAAAATACAAGTATAATATGCAAAGCTTTGAGTGCCTTAGAACTCAAATTATGAAGACGACGAACAAACCCGTTTTAACAACGAGTTTCATAAATTGGGAACGGAAATTAAACATCGCCCAACATCATCAACAACCTTGTTTAATAACAAAGAATACAACGACCCCTGGTTCAAAAATTTTACAATCGTTGAGATATAATGATAAACAAAACATGTTCAGTTTCCAATTAATACATCGTAGATAAAACAAAAGCGATGCTGTTGTTGTATTTTCCATTGTTGGCTAATGATATTCTAGGCAGCGTGCTCTCTGCTGACGTCTCCAGGATTAAATCTGGAACTTGCGAGAAGCCTAACTTGTTTAAGTTTAGATAAATTATAAATCAGACCGTGATCACTTGTGGGTACTTTGGATGTAGATCTTATCTTCACTAACAAAATTTAAATTAATTAATTTACCAACGAGCTACGACTTACAAAGGACATTTCAAATAAACTACATACAAACAAGGTTGTACTTAAGGTTTCCTTTGCAAACAGAACGAGTTCGTCAACAATTTATTCTGATGAATGGGTAAACTAAAAAGTAGAGTAATAAGCAATCTGCTGTGTTACTCTTATCTGCAAACACAATTCTTATAAAATTATGTATAAAGAATGACCTAATAATAAATTATGCGCAAAAATATTAATTGAAAAGCATTTTATGCTCGATTACGTAAAAGTTATCGCTATTTTTCACAAATAATTAATTTTTGAAATGTTTGAAAACTAAAATTTTGTGTAAAAGTTTTGAAAATGATGAATTTTTGATAATTAAAAAAATTTTTTTTTTCGTTTAATGTCCGAGACGGCAACATTCTGATTTATACCTATACAGGGCGAATCTTAACTTATACGCATAAACTTAGGGAATGATAGTTCTTACCTAATAAAAACAAATAGTGAAAAAAAATTCTAGTAAAAGTTGTTTAGTTACTGAGATATTGCCTCATAAAAACACTATTCTGTATAATGATATGTATTTTCGACAAGTTTATTATAATAGCCAGTTCGCATATGTCGCAGGAACACCCTTTGCAATGACGATGATAAATACTTTTAATAATTTGCATTTAACACCAACAACTTGAGTTATTTAGAGTCATAAAACAAACTTTATACACTCCACGTAGAATCATCTTTCATGAGTCCTTGCCGCCGTTAAGGTGCTTTAAAACAATAAATGTAATCTCGTAAATTGTATTTCTGGCACTGGTGAAATTCAATTCCTTATATTGAAACGAAGCACTTATAAACAAACTTTCTGGTATCATTAATACAAACGAACAAATGATATTTCAAAATGTTAACAAACTCAAAGTGGTTAATCTTATAATTTTCGATCTTTTTCCAAACGATGTACGAGTATTTATGTATTTATTAAAATTATTAAGCCTTCCATTCATGACCGTAATTAACGCATAAATTTTGGTGTTGATTCTGTATAGAAATTTGACTTTACCTATACGTATTTGATTTTCATTTAATCAATTCAAAGAAGCTTTCTGTTTTGTGAAAAAATCAGTAGCAATTTGGGTTTTGGCATCTAATTTAAAATTGAGTTAATAAAAGATTAAAGAATGGGAGCAATAATTGCTTGTAGTGTCCAATTTGTTTGAAAAGAAGTAATTCTGGCTGAACGAATACGTTTACAGTAATGTAAAAATTGAAAAAAATCTGCTAAAATGTGTCGCTTTTGGGTTTTAGTTTTTACATTACTACAAACATTTCAATGTACAAAAAAGAAATTATCGTTTGAGAGATTCTTATGCCAATGGAAAGTGTAATTCAATGTAAAGAAATTATAAAATTTATGAAAGGCCAATAGCAAAAAGGTAAAAATAATACAATTACAACGATACAACCGTTTATTAGAGAATAAATGAAAATCCTAGTACTAATATAAACAAAAACACAAAAACACAAATGCTTAAGTATAAGTTTGTTATTCTATATTGTTCTACACATTCGATTTTTTTCAAACAATTTCTTTATCAGTAGAGATTTACCTACGCCTAGACAGGTGGAGCCCATAATAATTTTTGTTAGATTGATACTGATACTATTTTAAAGAAACATTAAAGTTTTTATTGAATGAAACATGTTTCGGGTTCTAACTAGTCCCATCTTTAGTCTAAATTAAAAATAAAAACATATAAATTATTGAAGATTAAATTTTAAAAAAATTTAAAAATCTAAAAAAGTAAAAGTAAGCGAAGAACTGAAGCTTCTTCGATCACGGCGTTGAAAACATTACATTACTTTTACTTTTAAATTTTTTTTAAATTTAATATTCTTTTTCTTTTATTATCAATTTAGACTGAAGATGGCACTAGTTAGGGCTCGAAACATGTTTCACTCAATATAAGCTTTAATGTTTGTGCAAGACGACTTTATCTCCTGTACCTCTCTTTAACTACAAAAACTTGATACTATTTTATTTAAAGATTTTCTTTAACTTAAATACTAGTAAATACTTGAAATGTCAAACAAAAGCCAGCCAAATTCTTCTTTCTATACATTGTTAATTATGGTAAACAAAGCAAACACAAAAATACCAGTTAACAGTGAACATAACTTTTACTGTTCGATTGAAGCTTAATTATTCGGAAATTTATTTCGCTCAAATTGATAGCTTTTTTTGAAAATTTGGAGATACTGTTTGTGATCAAAAACAAATAATTATCATAAATGGAAAAACTGTCGGGCCACTTAATGATTTCATCGTTTTGTTCAACAATTACAGCGGTTTCGAGTGGCATTTTAACATTCCATTTACCAACAGCATTTAACGGTAATATTCCGTAGTAAATGTTATCTTCAGTGTCACATATCATTCCTCCTGATTGTCCTTGCTTTGTCCCTTTGTCGGTGATAAAATTATGCAAATTGCTCCCAGTTGCGATTGATCGATTTTTCAAAACTGAATTACTTATTGAGAAAATGTGCAATGATGTTTGCGGCATATAAAAGAAAGTTCTTTCCTCCTTGCCGCAGCATAAAGCGATACCATTAACGTGTGACAAATGTTGATTTTGAACACCTTGCGCTGTAAAATTGACGGAATCAGGGTCACCAAACATGCTTTTATCTCTGGCTTTCCACGAAGTCTTCAGTTTCCTGTTGTAGACAAAAATTCCTGGATCTGAAGAGGTCGTGTCCGAAACGTAGGCATAATCGCCATCGACGACGATGTCGTTGAGAAAGCAACCGCCTCGATGAGGGCACAATTCGTCCGGCACTTGGAAGCTATCGACGATTTTTCCCTCGCCGTTCAAATCTAATAAAATGATTTTCGGTGGACAATCGGTATTATTGTCGACTCTTCGAGCATCTAAAACCCACATAATGCCGTCTTTATCAATTTCCATGCTCAAAACATTCTGAATGGCATCACAAGTTGATCCCGAATTCATTTCCCAGTTGGGATACGGTGACAGAAGTGGATTTTCTTTATTTGCGTCGATAGGAATGGAAGCTAAAGTTACTCTTGAACTTCGTTTTATTCTCGGAAGAGCTAAGTAAATGACGTTTTTATAAATTTTAATACCGGCGATCACGTCTTCTCCAGGGACATAACCAAATTCGACCATTGTTTGTTCAGAGGGCCAACTAAAGTTAATGTAATTCCAAGAGAAAACAGGCACGAACTTGCTATTATTGTCAACACTCGCGCCTAATAACACTGTCACATAATTTAACATCACACAAAACAGGGGAATAAGCATGGTTATAACAAGTGATCTGACACGACGTTCACTAACTACCAACGCAGTAGCCAATTTGAATTCATTTATGATGACCGCCTGCAAGGACAACAAGAAACCGCCTCACTTGACACAATGAATGTTCGAGTTTCTTGCTACTGATAACGATAATACCGGAACAGTATGACTGTACAGCTTATCGAAATAATATTAATCAACCATTTTTTATTCAACAACATTAGTTTTTTTTCCAGAAAAATAATTGAAAGATTACAATAAAATAATTTCTTTGCTTGATGTCTCAACTTCAGTGTCGCTGAGTAATGTAATTATAATTTTAGCTAGGGTTCCTATATTAGAAGAGTTTAAAAAAATGTTTCAATTGAAGAAATTAAGACTGAGTTGGCTAATTTAAAGGTGTAGAGAATATCCGAGAATAATTGTTAAGTGTGACGTTGACCATCGATATTGTATGTTGAAAAATTTTGATTTTTTTTTGTGTGTTTTAAGTGTAAGGAAAAAAATATGTAGGCTTAAGTAGATTTGAAAACTTATTTCCTGTCCATATACGGAGCTCAGTTTTAGAAATAAAATGAAAATTCGATAGTTTTTCAACTTTTTTTTTTCAAATCAAATTGTTTAATCAGACCCATATGATTTTGTTCTGTAAATTTTTATTCTAATTGAATTTTTTTTGTCTAGAATCAATTTAATTAGGTAGGTATGACTAAATTTAATAATCATACAAATTATTAATTATGGAATAAAAATTATTAGGTATTTCTTATTTTCTATTTTTTTTGAAGGGCACATCCCAGAAGAACATAGATGAGTAAGTATCTTAATGCTTTTCGTTCCATATAAATTGCAAATAGTCGTTTTTTAGTCTCACAAATAATTTCAAGAGTTTTTACTACTAAACAGAGCTAAATTTACTTTCTAGTCAAACCGGAAATTATCTACAAAAAATTTTAATGAAAAAGGAAAAAACGTCGTATACCTTATCCACATAATACAAAATTGGCTCGTTTTAACGTTTAGTGTCCCAACTCTTCAAATAAAAGAACTCTAATTTTAGCCTTTTGTGATAAATCCACGTAAATGCTTAATTATGTGAAAGTATTTACAATTTTTTCTTAGGTAACAAACGCTATCATGCACTTGTGGTAAAGTAATACCTAAAGTTGCTGTAATTTAAAACTTCGTTCTTTTTAAACTCAGCAAACACTAAAGTGTAATTTAATTACAAGTTTAATTTGCAGCAGTATTGACAAATCCCCCACAACACAACAAGAACTTTACTTTTATTTACTTCGCTGAGCTGACTCAGAAAATAGCAATGGCTTGTGTAAAAGTAATATCATAGACTGATTTTTTTGACAATTTAATTAGGTACATATTTTCAGACTTATTTATTTCTTTTACTGCCATCAAGAAAAGTTCACTACGTGGTCCGTATAACTCCTGCTAATAATGCAAAGCTAATATGTATAAAGTTCTATTACCAGCTCATTAGATTTGTAATGTAGTGTGGCTTAAACAATTCCATTAGTTCCAGTACATGAAGCAAGGGCTAACGGATTTGTCAGCGAAACGGGTCTGCGACTAGCCGACAACTAAGCAAAACAATGATGCATTTCTGTCTCTTTGATTGAATAATATTTCATTAATAAATTATCTTTGCAAATTGTAAACTCGCCAAAAGTCTAACTTTAGCATATAGAGAAATTCTTGGCAAGAATAGAAAGCTGTTATGTACTTACAGTAATCATAAAATAGAGAAACCATAAGTCGAAATAATGTCTTTGTATAAATAAAAACATAAAACCAAATCTGGTCAAGAATGTCGTGAAAATTTTATAAATATATGCTACAGCGACATGTTGAAATTGAAAATTTTCAAAATTATTTTTAATTAAATTTATTTACTACCAATAGATAAATTAGAAAACTCAGTTAGAAAGTGAATTTTTTTGCATTATAACGATTTAACAGCAGCATGTGCAGCTGTTACGTGGCTTCCCAATATTTGATACGTCTAAAATCCACAAAATAGCCGGAAACGTGTGTTTAAAACACTGGCAGATTGCCATGGCGATATGTAATCGTATCATCAGGCCGTTTTTTACGTTACAGCATCTGGACCTGTTGTTGATTGCGCTTCAGTAATAGGGAGTCGGAAGATATAAAGCTGCGAAAGTGGCTTTTAGATGTGTTCGTCGAACACTCACCTACATAATTAACGTTATTGGTAGATATTGTTGGGGAATCTCTTCACTTTTGTAACGATCGCACAAATCTCTTATCTTTTCAACATTCGCTTTTATTGACTCTAACATCCTATCTGTTTCTTATGACCATTCCTTTCTTCGTAATTGTATGCGATAAAAGATTGTATAATATCTCAAACACTCCAACCCTAAAAAGACCTTATTGAACAGCCGATTAATTAATGAAACTTCTCGCGAAATTTCTTAATAAATGCGAGCTTCGGAAAGTTGTTATTCCCCGATAAGCGCTTTGTTTGGTTTATGCGGTGTGCGAGACTATGGTGCTTCTCAATATTTTATATCCCATTACACGAGAGAATAAAAAAAATCCAAAGATACCTAATTTCCTGATATGTCTTATCCAGAATCGCATTGTTCAATTTCCCTTCCTTATCTTGTCCGATTTCTTTAGTAAAATCAAATGAAACCAGCGTTAAACGAAAAATCAACATTTCAACGCACAAAAAAGAACACGAAATTTTATTTATCGAGATTTGAGCCAAGTTAAAACGATGATTTAATACTACGTCGAAATAATTAAAATATTAAGTGAGTGCTTAATTAATTTCGCTACTTTTAACAGATTAAAACTGAAACTGTGTCGTCAGCAACTTTACACTCCGTGAAAATTCTTACAACATCGAAAGCCTAAAGCTAAAGCTGAAAACAGTACGTTTAATTTTACTAAATATGTAACATACCTAGTTTGTCTTCAAATTTGAACCGAATAAAGCGCTCCTGAATGCATAAGCAACTTATGAAATGCGAAACTGTCTACGATGAATTAGCTTCTACTGTTAATGCATTTGGAAACATTTGTGTACTTGGAAGATTTCAAATGCAAGAGGAGCGTCATTCATGAAGCAAATTTAATTTTAAACTTTTGGAAATATACTTAAGACAATATAGGTTGCCTTTGCTTTATAAATTATGCCATTTCATTCTTCGACTGTAATAACTACCATAAGGTTATTGCAAGTATTTCCTAAATAACTCTTTTTATGTTGTGGCTTCTTTTCATTTTTAATATACGGATTGAGCCCAATGACGTAATAAAAAAGCTTTTTTCATTAATTTTTTATAAAAGCCAAGTCTTGAGAGCATCTAATTTGTGGAACAATTAGAGTTCTGTTCCTTCAAAATTTTCAAGCTTCAAAGTGGTAACAAATGTGACCATTTTTCACTAAAAATATATAAAATACCTTGTGTCTAGTTTTGTTTGTTTCTAGAATTAGATTTTACTAGATACAGAAACTATAAAAAGTAATTTACTCAAAAAAAAGTGAATCTATTTGCTTCCAAGAGTACCGTTGTAATAATGAGACGTCTTTCGTATAGCAATTCTATCATTGAAATCGATACGTTCCACGTAAAATTATATTTGACAATATAGGGAAGGATAAAGAAATGTCGGAAATTCCTTCATTTTTAATTTTTTTCAGACAACAGCTACTGACAGAGACATATCTATTTTATTATTCTATTTATTCTCCACATGGGTAACATGACAACTTTGCCACGCTCAAGCCAGATGCGCCCGATTGCTCCAAGCTACTGCCTTCTTCAGATGTGAATTTCTATGACAAGAAGTCTATCTTAAATTCAGCTTGAACCTTTTATTCTCAAGAAACGTTTAATTTAATCCATAATATAGCGAAATTCTTTTTTCTTTTGTAGCACAAAAGAATGCATTACCAATTGTCTAAAATTCAAAAAACATTTTTAAGATATAGTTTTTTTTTATAATAATAAACACTAAAAATAACAATAAATCTTAAACAAGTTATATGCAGAGTGTTCCGTTTTTATTTTTACAGATTTAAACAGGTGATAACATATTGAAATTTAAGACAAGTGTTTTCTATAAATATGTTTCAAAAAAGTCAAAATAGTTTGAATACTTTTCGGCCTTCTCTCGATTTATTTTCGCCCCCGGACGATATAAGCAATAATAAATATAAGCTATAATAATATTACTACATAGTAAGTAAGAAAACTTATCCGTCATAACCAAACTTGGTACAGTGGTAGAACTTGACCTTCTTAGTAACCACCTAAAATACTAGATTGTGCAGTCTCTTGGTTTCGGAGTTAAAGAAATGCTGTTTGAGATTTGTGAAAAATATGAGATTTTGATGACATTATTTGAACCAATTTAAAGCGACTAGAAACTTCTAGGTCAAAGTGACCGCTGAGACGTTGTGTCTCTTGTATTTTTTTTACTTTTGAACAATTTGAAGATCCCGATCGCTGTTAGGTATTGGTCGTTTACTTAATTTGTGCGCTTTCCAAAAATCAAGAAATGAGTGACTTTTTCTCTAGTTTAGTTTCGAATTTAATTAAAAATTTCGACATTTGATCTTTGAATTCGTTTATAAAGACGTACTGTACCAAATGTTCTAATTTTATCTAAAATAGTGTCTAAAATATTGGGAAATCCTCATTAAACAACGCATCCCTTTCAGGGGATGTAACAATAAAACCGAACGAGAAAAATAATATATAAAGTAAGATACCAGGAACATGGAAAAAATGTAAAAAAAAAATTATCTATAAAAATTTTGAAGTTATGAGGGTTTAAAGTTTGCACTTTGACTCTATTTATTTCTGTTGGAAAATTTTCCAAGTTTTTTTGCTACAGGTTATTAGAAGAGGAAACAAGGAAGCTGTATCCTAAATTGTAACTCTGTTCAATGTTATTTGTGGCTTTTATTGGCAAAATTTTTGTCCCTTTACTAAATAATTGTAAAAAAAACATATACAATATGATAATGATCATCAGTATCATTAAATAGATATAAAAAAATTTCAAATGTCCAAAAAT